CTATGATCTTCAAAAACTTAAATGCTATGTCAGTCATTATCTCCTGCCTGTCTTCTTGAATCTTATTCTTTTATTGTCCTCTGTTTCTTTCACTCTCAGTATCTTCTTGTATCCTGGTGGTTTTTATTGCCTTATGTGGAGGGAAATGATCAAAGAAAATGGACTTAAAATCTGATATATTACCTTTGAATTAACAAAATTTGTTTCTAGAGGAAGCACAATTGACTTTACTTAATTGAATTGGGTAGAAAGTGCTTGATTCAAGGATAAAAAACCTAAAAATAGTAAAAATGAATTAAAGTTTTATTTCTATTCACATTGACTGATTTAGGCATATGTAACTTTCTTTCTGTCATGTAATGATGAGTATGTTAAATTTGAAAGTTGCATTGTTTAGATATTCTTTAAAAATTCATTATGACCATTAATAAACTAATTTAAACCAAATATTTTCTAGTTTTTTTCCAGTTTTATAATTATAAATTCTGTGAAAAATTTTTTCTTTTTATTTTAAAAAAAAAACAACAAAATAACTTTGATGTCATTTTATAAATGGTTCTCAAAATGTCAAGTGGATATAAAACGCTACTTTATTTCTTTCAAATGACAAAAGCCACATTCCCTGTGACAACTGTTGTCATGGAAATGAACTGTTTGGCATTTTATGGAAGCCTCTGGATTTATTATGTACTTATCACCAATGCTAAACCTTTGCCCGATGTTCTTAACTTCCTTACTATCTCTAGCAATTAGGTAATAAAAATTATTTAGAAAGCTTCCCATGTCTTGTTTGAATGCTGAATTTGTAATCAGCATTGGAGCTACTGTAATTACCACATTTAATTTGCTGAGATGTAAAAATTGTACTTTTTTATGGAGTTGAATGTAGAGATTCTCTGAACAGACACAAAACTACTTGTTTATTATATTGTGAAATCTCTTTTATTGTTGTTGCACCTATGTTGAGAAATAATTTAAAGACTTTTTTTCTATCTCTTGAAATCTTATGGTGTTTCAGTGCTGCTTTATTTATTTCAAGAGGTTTGCTTGAGTTTGAGCCTAAATTTATTATTGAGTATGCAAGACTTTTATGTTCTGATATCAACTAGTTTTAAAATTACTGTAGTTGTGAAGTACAGTAAATCTTGGATTAACCACCCAAATTCAGGAATTTTTTTTGTTGATTTCATTTTAAAAAGGGGAAAAAATGAATTTAAGTATAGCATGAAGAATTGGAGACATTGAAAATTTCTTTACGTAAGAAAAATGTTGTGCAATCAGCCAACTTTTTCATTGACTCTTATCAAAGAAAATCATTGATAAGTTTAAATTTTAAAATTAGAATTAGTAATAAAAATTAAGTAAAACATTCTAAAAGTAGTCATTAATTGTATTTTTGAATTTATTCCAACACATTCTTCCCACATTATTATTGTAATAGTTTATATTTGTTGAAACTGTATGTAAATAAAAAAAAATCTGAATTAAATGATTTCTTTCTTTTATAAAGTGCCTCTATACTGAGATTTGGAGACAGTTAAATCAGAATCTTTATTCATTGAGTTATGACATTGGATGGTTTCCTGCAATAATTGGCATTATTTAAAATAACTTTGAAAGATCTATTTCAGTACAGTGATAGAAATATTAGCAATGTTTAACTTTCATGCCAACAAAAAAAATGCTGTGTCAAAAGAACAATTATTCCCTTGACACTGCTATTACTTTCAACTCCCTTGGCACTGTTTATTTACAAGATTATAAAATTATATGAACCAAGTATAATGCAATATTTATTATTTACCATTTTATGGATAACTATGAAAACAAGTTTTTTATTCAATCTAATAAATAAATAGTGTTTAATATATTTGTTGTCAATTTTCAAGAATATAGAAACCCATTTTCATGTTTGGGTTTTAGTAAAATTCTAATCATCACTTTTTAAGACAAACATTACCATGGGAGTCAAATGTATACAATAATAGTTGTGTCAATGGAATAACCCTCCTTCTGACACACCATTTATTTATTTATTTATTTATTTATTTTTGGCTGATTAAATGAAGGTTAAACATTATGGAAATATTGATCTCTTCTGACTGATTTCAGAATAAGATCTATTCCGTTAAATAAAAACTGAATACATCAGTAATATATAAATTCAAGTGAATATGTGTAAATAAGACGGACAAAATCTTGTAACCTCAACAGAAGAGTAATGGTTTCTTGATTCACTTTCTATAAGTAGATTGAATAAAAGAATATATCAACTAAATATATTGTTATAATAAACAATGGAAATATTTCATTTCAAAAGTGCAGACAGTATAGCAATTGCTAATAGAAATGAAATGTTGTTAAATTTTTGTGAATAAACATGTTATTTTTGTGCTAATATTGAAATGTATAAAATATTGCTCTACTTGCCACCATACTTTTGATCTCTTTGAGTTGCCCATGTCTAGTTGTATCAGTCATAGCACAATGGGAAATAAAAAGAATCACTGAGTTACACAAATCCCTTCAATCCAATTCTGTGCATTAGCATTATTTCCCCAAAATAATACAGTGATACAACACCCTCAGAAATGTAATAAATAAATCAGTGTAGTCTATATAAAATAAGAGAGTTATTATTCTGATCTTGAGAGTTTGTTCAATCATCAATATATCATTTACTTATAAGTTCTACTTGATAGACTTTGGTTGTTGTTGTTTTATTTTTTGTTTCTTAGGAATATTTATTTTAGTGTTGGAGGAAGCAGATTGAAAATTGAACCAAAATTTACAGAAAAGAAAATCCATAATATTATATCTATCAACATATTTTCAGATATTGTCACAAATATTATGCTCTCATTGCCAACTCTATACCAAAGCATTTAGCAAGATTGTATTACACTATAAGTTACTACCAACTTGCAACTCCTTTATTTGTGTTTCTGGTAAATATAACTAAATATAGATATGACTAGCTGATATGGATACAACTTTGCTACAATGATTACATAGAAATACTGTTTATGGACATCTTCCTTGTATTTGTAATAGTATATCTTAAATTGATATAAGGATACTACTTAAGGTGTTGTGTTTCCGAAATATCTACATATTTCTGCTGTGATTTTAAATAGTAAGTTTTTGTTTTTAGATTGTTTCTAAAAGCAGATTTTATAGAATGTAAGCCCTGGAACAGGTATATCATTGCTAAAATAGTCATATAATTTTTTGACATTGAGTAAATTATTAAATGGTATGTTGGCTTATTTAGTAAATGTACTTTTATGTCGTTCTATAGATATTTACTGACCAAACTTATAAAATACTCCAAAGAAAAATTTAAAAAACTGAAACTCACTAGTTTTCTCTGTCAAGCAAAAATAGCCTCTCCTCAATTATCTTTACTGTCCATTTATATTAAATATTCTGCATTTTTTGGGCTATTTTTTCTTTATCTCATAAAGGTGTGGGGTAATGGTTTACAAGCCTAGTCTGATAAGATTTTTGTTTTTTTCTAGCAATATTTATTTCAGCATTGGAGGAAGCAGCTTGAAAATTGGGCCAAAATTTTAATTGGGTTCCCCATACAAAATTTGATATTAAATAATCCACCAAGGATTGACATATTATGAAATCAACCAATCACATAAGCAATTAATTTGTTAGTGGCCCACCTTAAAAACAAAGAAAGTGATTTATTATAGTTCCTATATGACAATGAATGTTAGACAATCCCCTTACAGATAAAGAAGAGATCAAAGCGACAGCTGTGGTTTTACCAATGGGAACTGAGAATACCATAGACAGAACATGTGGACAACAAGGAAGTTTTAAAGAAAATAGAACCTACAATGAACTTATACTTACAATCAAAAAGACAAAGATTAAATGTCTAGGATACTTAATGAGGAAATAGGGCCTGTAACATTCACAGGACATACTCAAGGCAAGCAAAGTCATAGGAAATAGTAAGTAATCTATTTAACAAGTTTGTATAAATAGATGGCAGAATAGGGACAAAGGAATGGTAAAATCTCAGTAAAAGACAGGAAAATTTGGAGAGCTATTATTGCCCAGATCCTGAAAGGACATGGCACATAAAAAAAGACTGGCCAACCTGAAGACTGAATGGCCATAGTGAACTAGTCATATACAATACACACAACCTTTCATTCAGTTTTGACTGACTTTGTAAGGAAGCACATCTTTATAGGATTCAGATCTTTATGTATCACCATGATTTTTCAAAAACATATTCAGGTCACTTTGACCACATTTTGAAAAAAATGTCATTGTTTATTTGATGGAGTGTTTTACCTGAAAACTTTAAGTTTTAATTATTATGCTCTTCAAAATGAAAATTTCAATTTATAATCCAAAATAATAATTTTTCATAAACAAAAATACATGAGTTGTGAATTTATTATAATTCTAAGTTGTATATATTTATCTAGATTTTCAGCAAAAGTATTTAGAAATAATGCCCAGTTACAATTAAATATTCCAGTGGGTTTCAGACTAAAGTTTTTTTTGTTTCTTCATCTTTAAAATATTTAATTAGCTTCAGTAAAATTTAAAATAAAAAAAAAATGAACAAAAATACAGTTTTCTTTGAATATGAAAATAATTCAATATGTTTATTAAAATCTTCTTTGAACTTCCATTCTTCAAAGAAAGTCAGACACATGAATAGAAATGGGTCATCAAATTTATTTATCTCTTTCTCTGCAGGAAAATTATTTACAGCTACATAACTGCACCAAGATTACTGGCTTTCTAATTGACTCCTGCTCAATTCTGAGGATAATCATCTTTTGATTCCTAGAATAAAAATAAAATTATCTCTATTTTTCATTTTTTTTTTTTTTTTTTTTTGCTTCCTGTTTTTCTTGTTCCAATCTAAGGTGTATGCTGGAGAAATGACCAGATCAGACCTGTTTTAAATTTTCTTTTTCTTTCAAGATTATACTCAAAGATAATTATTTGTTGCTTTCCAGATACAAGCACCACCAGGAGCTGAAGAACTACCTGCACTCCCAGAACCAGAAGGCAGTAAATTGAAAAACCATCTCAAACAAGTAATACTCTTATATTTATTGTCTTTTTCAAATGCTTCATTTTATCTTATCAACTGTTATATGTAAATAGGAAGCTACCATAATGATTATCTGTGAGTGTAGGAGGGAATGGAATCAGCAAGCTAAATTGGGATTCTGATTAAGGCTGTTTATGTTCATTTTATATTAATGGCCTTAGAAAAGGTATGAAACCATGTCTCCATTTAACATTTTGCAATTTTTGGCTGTTTAAAAAAGAAGCAACAAAAATATGTCTATGATTGGTTATGAAAATTATAATTTAATCTTGTTGAAAATTTGTTATTGAGCCTTAATTATTTCCAATGAATTCCCTTCCCAGGAGAAGCATTAATGGATTCATGTAGAATAACATATTTAAAGTGCTTAGTAGAGAGGGTGTACAAATACTGTAAGCATCATGCACACTGTAGGTAGGTAGGTATAAACAAATATATTAATCCATGTATATACAATTTCCTATTATTTTTAGTAGATGCACATGGTTGAATAGACACCTTGTCTTTTTTTTTAAACAGTATAAATTATGTCTACCAGTCTGTGCAATTGAGACTTAATAAAGAAAATGTGCTTTCAGAAATAGCAACCCATTCATAAATAATTTTGTTATTTTTTATTGGTATTATACTAGTATGTAAATAATTATTTAGTACTTATATTAAATAGATATCCTGAAAAATTACTTTTTGCACTCTTCCTGAGAAAAATATAAATTGACTCAGTTAATTTGTTATTCAAGTGCAATAGATTCAAATGTAAGGATTTTATTAATTTTCAAAATTGGTTAATCTCTTGTCAAAATGAACATTTCAGAATAAATACCACTCAGAAAATTATTAAGTTTTGTTTCTTTTTGTTTGTTTTTTCCAAAAATATATAACTATTTGGAAAACAATTTTGTTTTTAAATAATTGTTAGTTTTATGACTTGTTTTTACTTTTGATTTGTATTTATAGAACCTGAAAAATGTTTAGAATTATAAAGTCTCAATAATGACAGATTATTTTTTAATCTTTTGATATAATGAACTAACAAGCATAAGGCAGGTTTAAAATTCAATAAAAAAGAATTTCTAAAAATGTCAAAATGCAATTACTTTAATTCTTGATATACAAAAGTCAATTAAATATGTAAATAGTATTATAATTCAATGAGAATCATTGGTATTTCAAATCCGGATTCAATCCAGTTTAATATTAATCAATGGTTAAGAGCTTTAATTGTTTAGGCATGATATGATTGAATAAATGCCTCTTTAAACAGTCTTTCTTGTTGATTTAAATATTAGCTTACTATAAATTCCAATTTCAGTGGTCTATCTCGGTGATATAAGCTGTGGTCTATTTTATTTTTATTATGTGCATCAACCCTGAAGCTTAAAAAATGAGAGCTGGAAATATATATGGAAGATGCTTCAAAGTCTTCATTCACAAAACCAAACCTTACTATGATATTACTTGTTATGTGGGCTAAGTAAATAATAAATCAATTATTGGATATTCATGGCATGATTAGAAAAGTTTTGAGGCTTATGCCTTAGCCTTCACCTTTTTATCTATACATATGGTGACCTAAACACAAATCTTAAATTTTCCATTTCTATTTGATATAATTTTTTAATAAATAAAATCTTTAGTAATTTTTAATTGAATATAAACTTTGGTAATTTGTGATGTTTATCATCTTTAATAATATTTGACTATAATAACAAATTTTGTTTCTTCTTATTTTGTGTAGAAAAATAAGGCAATGGTGTTGGGGTTAAGGGGAAAACACCAGGTAATAATAAGGAACAGATTGTTCTCTTAACAATTAAGGGGGAACAGACAGAGAAAGAAATTTAAGAAAAATGAATAATTACAAGTGAGGCCATTGCCTCAAAAACCACAGCATGAAAGGGGGTATGTAGCTTCTGGAACAAAATGTGCCAATGGAACATCTTTACGAGACACCACTGCTAGCTTTCCTATTGCTATTATTGACATAAGGCAATTTACAAAGACCCGAATCTACAATTTTCAGAGAGATCTGTATCTGAATATGCCAAGCTGTTCTGCAGCTAACAGAGAAACCCAGATGTGACTGTCCACACACAACTCAGGGTCTCTTTTGCATCTTTATGTGTTTTTATTACTATAAATAATATTAATAAATTTAAATTACTGGTAATAATTTCTTCTTTCTTTTTTTTTCTTTTCTAGGCTCTTGCAAGCATGAGTATGACCCCACAACCAATCAAAAATCTTGATGCTCTTGCCCAAAGCCCAGAATTATTAAAACGTCGTGAGAGTTTTGGTTCTAATACAGGCTTCAACCCACTCATTTATGGCAATGATGTTGACTCAGTGGATGTGGCAACTCGAGTTGCTATGGTAAGTACAATTTGAATGCTTTTCTTTATCTATTCTTGCCTTCCTTCGTCTGCCATGGATTCTCTCTCTTAATTAAGGTTATTATTTCTGTATCCTTTCTTGTCTCATAACTGCTCAAATTAACATTTGTTTGCAGAATAACTCTATATCTTTTTTTTCATCCTCTTAAAATGTGACTATTATTTCTTTTGGTAAGTTTTTATTACAGTGTTTGTTTTTGTTTTTTGTTTTTCTGATCTATTTTTTGGCTATAAAATTCAACTGTAGGAATTCAGAACAAAATTGCTTAATTTAAATGCTGGAAAATTGGTTGACTAAAAAATGACAAAAGGCAAAAAAAACAATGAACAGTCTAATGAAAAGTAATTATAAAATACGAATAACAATGGAATGTGACAGTGAAGTAGTCTAAAGGCACACTGAAATAGCAAAATATAAGCATTATGAAACAAGAAAATTTTGTTGGAGACAAAAAAAAGTGCTAAAGTGTTATGTAATATCAGTCCTCCTATATATCAGTGAATGCTGGACAATCTCATCACAGATAAAGAAGAGACTTGAGACAACAGATTTGGTTCTAGGGAATGATGCTAAGAATACCATGAACTAAACATATGCCCAACGAGGAAGTCTTAATGATAGTGGAAGCAAAAAGGATGCTTATACTTAGAATCAGAAACAGTTCTTGAACATGCATCAGATATTTGTTCTTTGTTCTTTCATTTCTAGTCTAAGGAGAAAATCTGAAATCCTACCTTAAAAATGGTTGCTAGTTTTAATCTTTTTTAATTGTACTTAATTTGGTTTTATAATCAACAATAATAGATCCTTGGGAAGTTGGGTAACTTTGGATTTCACAACTGATATTGGATGTTTAATAAGTTTTTATTATCATAATTTAAAACAGAAAAAATTTCAACTTTGAATATTATATTAAAGAAATTTGAGTTTTACAATTATTTTTAAACAGTGTCTTTTAATTCACTGGTTGTGTATGATGTTTTGATTTTTAGAGAATGACAAAAGTAAATGTTAACTTTAATTTTAACAGGTCCGCTTTTTCAACTCTCCAAATATCCTTGGAAACTTCAGTGAACACACTCGGACACTTCGACTTTATCCTCGACCTGTAGTTGCTTTCCAGCTTCACAGCTTCTTCAAGTCTCGTCCTATAAAAACAGCTTTCACAGCAAAACTTGCTAGGACTCAAGTAAGTGATTTTGAAGATTTTCATCAGTACCAGAAACCTTTCCCATTTTATTCTTGTCATTGGCACCAAAACCTTTTCTCATTTTTTTCTTATCATTGGTAGCAGAACCTCCTATGTTTTTATCTAAATGATTTTCTAGTTTGCTACTCAAAGAGCAAAAACATATGGAATACCACCTCATGCTATTTTTCTAATGAAATTTTTTTTTTTACTTTCTCTTACAGAGGAAAATAATGTAAAATATTAATCTTCAGCTTCTATTACACCTGGTCTTTGAAACTAAAATTTGACAAGTATCTTGGTCTGTAATGAGTTCTTATTCCAAGTATTGTTCACATTATTGAATTTGTTCTTTTTGTTGCTCTTGTTATTACCATAGCATTTCAGATAATCCATTCAAAAGCGTTATTCAAGGTACAATCAATATGAAAAGAAGGTTTTTTTTTTTTTTTGTTTTTTTTTTTCTTCCTTAAGGCAAATCAGAAAATTGTCCATCCAGTATGGGATTGTAAGCAATGTTGTTGTGGATAAGTTAAACAGATCAGTATAGTTTGCTGCCATTTCTTGTCTGTGTTTTTACCTCCATTTTCTGGTTTGTCATTACAAAGAATAAGAAAATTCTACTTTTTTTCTATACAGATTGTACACCTGAAGAAGGCTGGGGAATTGCCAAAGTATTGTGGTAATGACAAAAACCAAAACCTAATCAATTCAGCAGTTTGAAAAATGCTCTAGATTCTCTATAATTATTTTTAAAAAGTACACATATTATGGGCTGCATGCTGAACTGTGGTCTTTTTTCCCACCTAATGGCTTGTCATCTGATATCAGATCTTCACATTACACTAATTAAGGATTGTAAGAAAACATGAGGCAGAGGCTTGTTTATAGCTACTGTTACATGTAATTAACCACTTTTGTCTTCTTGATTTTGGATGATGTAAATGGGAATGTTTCTACCTTATTTGTGGATTTATACAAGGTAACAAAAGTATTATCTTGTTGGCAGGTTATTTTTAGGTTTGCAGTTGTCCTGATGTATATGCATTCTTGCTTTCAGTTTTTACTATTGTCAAAAGGAATGATTAAAATAAGTACCTCTTTTTTGTTTTCATCACTAATTTTCAACAAGCCTTAATTACAGCTCATAATTTTTTTTTTAATATTTTTTTTTAATTTCAACATCTTATTATCGCAAGCAACAAAGATCTGTGTGTTGATATAGAAAGAAATTAGGCATTCTTTGTTTTGCATGATAATGGTAGCACCCGGTTTGGTAAAAATTCATTCTTTTGGTAATGAGACTGGAATGTCTTTTCCAAGGCACAGGCTTGAGCAATAGTATATGGAGGCCCAGACCACATGCTCTCTCCACTCTCAGTTGTACTAGGATTTAAAGTTATACAAGACATTAGATTTGGAGCTGTCTTGACTGCAGGAGTTGGTTGAAGGTTGTGAGCTTCACTCAGGATTTTCTGCCTGAATTTACTTTCATAGGATATGGCTTCAAAGTAACAGAAGTTTAAAACCAGGATTTTTCTTTCCCTAGATTGACTGTGTTGTAAAGAGATAAATAATTTTAAAAAAGTGGGTGTATAAAAATGGTTTACAGTATAATATAAATCTTTGTTGTTCAGGTTAACAAGTAAGCAAAATTAAAAAGTGGTTATAAAATTGTGATCAGAGCAACAATGAAGATGATTGTCTAAATGAGTCATCAAATAATATAGCTTGAAAAAGCAGTTATATTGAAATAAGAAACAGATGGTATAATTCTTAAGCAAGTAGCTTATCAATCAACTTGCATCAAAGAGGATCATTGATAAATTTCAAAATGTTACACCATAAACAGAATTACCATTAAAAACTTGTAAAAAATCTAAGACTTTATTTGTCATCTCACAGAAAAAAAAATTACAAAATCGGCAAACTTAGATTCTGACAAGTAACTTCAAGGATTAAAGAAAGTTTCTTTTGACAGTTAACTTCAACAAGTTTCCACTTCATCAGGCTATATTTAGGTTTTCTACCATTAAGAAATTCTCATCAAATAATGCCAAAACTCAGAACTTTAGACAACAGAAATCAAAAAGTTTTCAGTTTCAGGAATAAGTGGCATATATATGTTAACTTCTACCTAGGGGGAAATAAGACAATAAACTCTTCAACTTATATTGTCATCATTTTGTATAAGGAAAAATTTGCTGTTTTATTAAATATCCTGTTATAAAAAAAAATGTCCTTCATCTGTTGTACAGTCTTCAGTTAGATAATCAGAAAGAAAAGAAATATACTTTCTGATTTTTTTATATTCCTTTAAGAGGAATTTATGTTGTCAGACTGATGTACAGGAAATTAGTGCTGAACTTGACAGACAGTCCAAGTGGGAATTGACATTTTTTTATTATTCTTACTGCAGTAGGAATGTTTTATTGTTTGAGTTTTTCTTAAATTTTTTCCTGAAAATGAGTTTTTCTTTTCAGTGCACAAATAAACATTCTTATGTTAAATGTCATATGATTTTCTTTGTATTTATTCCTCCACAAGATTGCAGATTTTACAACATGAATGTAATAACTATATCAGGCAAATCTGAAAGACTTAAAGCTAGAATACAAGTTAAATCTACCATATTTATAACATTATTTTTATTATCATCAGTCCCATAACTGGGTGTGGTCATAGGCACAGTTGATCATTTGACCAGCACTTCCCTCAGTTGCATGCCAATGTCTGAGTCTCTGTAAGGCTTATGACCATATCACATTGAAACACTGGTTTCTGTATGATCACCAAAGTTAAGCAATGTCAATCCTGGGCAGTACCTATATGGGTGACTGCTTGGCAATACCAGGTGTTGTAAGCTTAGATGTCCAGTTGGTTACTGGATAATAGCTTGGAATTGTTAGTCAGAGAGCCAAGTTCCAGTTCCACTTGGGTTTCTTATATTCACTTACATGCAAATATCATTGGGTAAGATATGAATCCACCTTTTTTCCTCCCAGCAGAGAGGTTAATTAGTAAGACTTGTATCACTAAATCATTATCTCAAAAAAAATTCTTACCATCTAAAAATATTTTCTGGCTTTGACTAATCTGCAAAGGGGTGATACGTCATAGAAAATGAATGAATCAATCAATCATTGCCTCTGTGAAGAATCTTCTAGTTCATTCAGTGATGTCAGCCCCTTTTTTCCTATCTACTTTTTAAGTGGAACCTTGTAGGGTAACAGTTGAAAAATTATGGACTCTTATGTCATCCATACTATTTCAACATCCTCTTTCTGATGGTTGTAATGAGATCTTCCAAAGGGCTTATTTATTTTCCATCCATTAGAAAACTTCATAACTACAATTTAACTTATAATAATCATATAACTTTTTAAAAACATCAAAAATTATGTGGTGGAACATTGTCTTTTTAATTATAATAATTTGATTGTTATAGTGGGTCAGCCAATTTGTATTGGTTATAAATAGAAATAAAAACTGACCCTCTACAATTTTTACAATATCAAATGTAACAAAGACAACAACAAGAGAAATAATCAAGTAGAAGAAAATGTGAATTTGTTCAACAATAAATATTTTTTATAAACACAAAAATACATAATATATAGTGCAAAAGTTGATAAACACAATAGAGTTCTTTGGTGTGTGTGTTACTGAAAGAATTTGAGCTACTGTACTGTATGTGTGAAAATGACAAGGTTTAGTTAGCTATATTTGTTTTTGTAGGAAAATTAAACAGATGTTTTTTTTGTGTATTAAATAGAAAAAAAAGTATTGTTCTTGACTCACTGATTGTTATCGCTCATTAACCAGAGATTCTTGTGGAATGGAATATTTTGTGGGAGTGAGCGTTAAGCCTGGAGATGGTTGACAGTTTGTTGTTGTATTGAAGATAAAGTTCGTCTCCTTTGCTGTGTTGATTTCCAATGAAGTCAAGTGAATTGGTTTCAATATTTTAAGTGCCCACTGACTAAGTCGCGTCGAAGTTTCGTTTTTATTAGTTCTCTTGGTCACATGGGGAGGCTCGTAAACATGTTTACATTTTATGGCGTCAACTAGAGGTCAAAATTTGGGTCGGTACCTTCGGACGTAGTTGACGCCACCTAATTAATATTTTACAACCAATCAAAATACATCAGTTGTTATATTTGGCTGGGAGCCTCTATGTGTTTAACTTGCACAAAATTTAAGATTTAAAAAAATGTAGGAATCTGATTCTACATTGTAAAAGCATGAAAAGACATGGGTGAGCTGTACTGGAAAAACTGCATCAGTGATTTTACCAACCATAAAATAAGTAACTTTTTTACCAGATTAAGACCTCATTGAGTCATAGATTAATGCATAATTTGAATAAGCATGTGCATGTAGTACCAAACAAAGAAAGAAACCAGCTTTATTAGGTTGTTAGAATCAGCCATTCTGCTTTCAGTTCAAAAGTTATATTAAAAGAATAACAAAACCAACAATTCACTGACTATTCATTTAAAAATTACTATTATTGCACACTTCTCAAAAGAATTCACAATTTTTGGAGCATATCTTAACAATATCATCCTGAATTTCTCTTATGCTCTACAATAAATTCTCAGATAAAATAGCAAATGATGAGTGGCCAGTTAGTAATTTTTTTCAATATGGCCAGTATGTAAAGAAAAGCATATTTTCTTTTTTTTTTAGTAGCTAAGCCCATATTAGTTGACATCATATCGAATAAATTTTAGATCTTAATACATTTTGTCTATGTGAAAATTATTTCTATCTAGACATATTAACTATAATCATGTTTCAATGGTTTTTACATCAGAATACATTCTCATGTAAATGAGAATATCAATGAGTAGAGATGAGATTATCAATCAAGACTGAGATTTCCATTTCTCTATAGTTTACAAACAGGATTTCTATGTTCACTGTGTGACTCAATAACAACATTTATAATCTAGTGGAATGAATAATTGATAGTGATTTTTCTCTTCATTTTGATATCAAGTTTCAAAGGTAGGTTCTAACCAAAAAACCCTTAAAAAAACCTTGATGTTTGTTCAGTTGGTCAGTTTTTGGGAAATGGATCACACAGAACTTTTCAGTGTTCATTCATATAAAAAACATTGTGACAGAAATACACTGTCAGATTTTATAAGTCAAGTTAATGACTTATGGAATTGATGAAATTGATAATAAGAAATATTAGTAAAATTTTCATGCAATATTTAAATGAACATTATATATGATATGAATTTCAACTTATAATATCTATTCTTTATTAGAAATGTTGATGTTTTGGAAATGTCTTATTATCTGGGAAATGTGACACCAAAATTTAAAGTCATATTGGGATTGTGAAAGATGCTTTCCAAAAGCTAAACAAAGTATTAAGAAAAAGAAAATTTCATTAGATACAAAGAAAAGAGTACTGAATGTAATATCAATCCTCCTATATTGCAGTGAATGCCTGACAATCTCTACATAGATGAAAAAGAAACTTGAAGCAACAGAAATGTGGTTCTACAGGAGGATGCTGAGAATACTATTGACTGGACATGTGATCAACAGCAAAGTTTTAGAGAAAATGGAAACAAAAAGGACATTTATACTTAACACCAGAAAGAGATAGTTGAAATTTCTAGGACACATAATGAAGAAAGAGGAATTAGAAAGTTTGACACTAACAGGTCATATTTAAGGCAAGAGGGACAGCAGAAAACAGTGCATAACCTACTTTATGAACTTGTGTAAAACAGATAGCAAAACAGAGTTTAGGAGAGTTAGCAAAAAGAGAAAATTTACTAAGAGCTACAAAGGACAGGAAATTGTGAAGAATCAGGATCATCAACATCCCGAATGGACATGGCATATAGAAAAAAAAGATTTTATTATGTAAACAATACGAGTTGTAAAATTTTATTTATAAATAAATCCCAAAAGTATAAGCTTCAGAAATAGATATTTCATTAATACAATATCCTATATAACTGAATAAATTATAATATTTTATTATTTTAATGTTAATATGAGTTTGTTGACATTCTATAATCATGTAAATCTTTCAATCATTGATTTTATTAGTTTTCCTGTTTCAAATTTAACATTATTTGCAGCAGTTCTTATTGCTTTTGAGAAATTTTTTCCTTGAATATTTTTTCCATTCTCAAATAAATATCTTAATAATAGACCATATGTTTTGAATTGGTTTAATATTTTAAATATTTAAAGTAAAATGAGCAATACATTTTATTGTAAAAAATACCAACAATACATTTTATAGCAAAATGACCAAAAATAGATTTTATCTGTAGCTGCATGTATACAATTGCATTCAAAGTATATTTAGTTGAAGCCATAAAATTGTTCAAAATATCTGGATTTAAATAACCGATAGAGGTTGATATACCACAAAATGAAGTTGACCAAACAACATGAAAGAACACTTTCATGGCATTAATCCATCTAATATCCTACAATTTCTTAAATCAAATTGTATTCCAAGATATAACTTCAACAAAACTACAAAATAAAACAGACATATCACTACCTCAAATAAGTATGTCCACACAAACATGTATATGCACAAAAAGCTGAGTATCATCTACCATGTATTCATTTGTGAAAGCAGAATAATATGTATCATATTTTTATTACTTCAAAGCTCCCAAGAAAATTAAATTTTGGCATTAAATGACTCATAAGGAGTTATGCTGCTAAACAAATCAATCAAAACTTTCTAACAGATGCTGTATTTTTTGGCAGTACTGGTACACTAGTACATATATATTATTCTACCTTCAACTATAGTCTTCTCACTTATGTTGTTTGATTATTTTCATGAATATCTCTTGCCAAGCTATCAGGTCTATCCAATGTAGTGGAACATTTATCAGTAAAAGTTAATATTGAGAAATTAGTTTTTATGTGCTTCTTACATGTTTTTCCTTGTGACATTTGCTTAAAGGTGATAGTTTGGTTGTTTCTATGTCTTTAATCAATGTTCATATCATGCATTTTTTCTCTCTCTTTACATTCACAACACCATCTTGAAATATTTTCCTGCTGGACAGTCCATTTTGCTTACTAATTTATCTTTTTAATTTTTCTCAAATATCTTTTTATGACATTTTAAAACTAGTTTGATTTGTTGTTCTTGTTTGTGTTTGCCTATATTTTCAATTTCTATTTTGATTTGATCTCTGTTCAACTTTTTGCACTGAAATGCATTACCAACCACCTGTGTTCACAGTGACTATTTGGTCTCTGTCACTATTCAGTAAGCATTATTGAATGACAATGTGCACAATTTCCACATGGAGGAATTCAGTGTGCTTTGTATGCACTTTGATGTCAGGCACCTCCTTAAGACAACCACAATCCATAAAAAGGAAAAACAAATTTTGGGTTATTGGCAGAGAGGTTAATCTTCTAGTGTCATGCCACTAACATATGCCTCTGATATTATGGGCCAGTATAATAAAATAGGAAGCATTAATTTTAAGAGTGATCCTTGAAAATTTGATCAATATCATCTTTATTCTGAAAACACTGACTTGTATAAAAAATCTTACTTTATCATGCAACCTAATCGCTCCTACTTAAAAAAGATCTCATTGTGATGGTAACAGGAATCATTACTTGATATCAATAAGCAAACATGCTTTGTATTACCATAACAACAGAATATCTCATAAGTAGTGAGGAGAGGTTGCTAATACATTGCATTTTATTTTTGTTGGCTTTCCTTGCATGTTTATTCATATGATTAAAAACATATAATTCTTTCTTACCTGCAACAACATAGCTAATTGTATAGATAAAATCCCAGGTTACTCGCACAAGAAATATACAGACCATTGCCCAA